GTTGTCATGTCAATCAAAACACAAATTATTCATTAGTGTAATTTGAGTGTAATTCTCAGAGTGACAGATAAAGCGTTTCTGTCCTTTTCGATTCAGTAGAATTGTGATGAAAAACTTCCAGCTACAGATGCGATACAGATGAGTTATTGCCAACGAAGTCTTAAGAAAGGTATGAGCAGCACTACACGGGATTTATTGAATTGTGCAATAGTAAAAAAGTGAAAACAAGAAATAAAGAAGAAGTATTTTTGGCTCATTTCCTGGAAATGTCTGGAACGTAGAGGAAAAACACCATGGGCATGCTGGCTTCTGCAATAAGCTTACCTACATAATGCTTCAAACGATACACACATTAGGTATATCACAAATGAGATTTTTGTAACGGCACCCCCCACCCCACCCCCTATGAGAGTTCTGTAACGGCACCCCCACCCAACCCCCTATGAGAGTTCTGTAACGGCACCTCCTACCCCCCAACCTGCTATGAGAGTTCTGATGTAACACAGCCTGCTATGAGAGTTCTGTGACAGCACCCCACACCCAACTTGCTATGGAAGTTCTGTAACGCACCCCCCACCCAACCCCCTATGAGAGTTCTGTAACGGCACCTCCTACCCCCCCAACCTGCTATGAGAGTTCTGTAACACAGCCTGCTATGAGAGTTCTGTGACAGCACCCTACACCCAACTTGCTATGGAAGTTCTGTAACGCACCCCCCACCCAACCCCCTATAAGAGTTCTGTAACGGCACCTCCTACCCCCCCAACCTGCTATGAGAGTTCTGTAACACAGCCTGCTATGAGAGTTCTGTGACAGCACCCCACACCCAACTTGCTATGGGAGTTCTGTAACGCACCCCCCACCCAACCCCCTATGAGAGTTCTGTAACGGCACCTCCTACCCCCCAACCTGCTATGAGAGTTTTGTAACATAGCCTGCTATGAGAGTTCTGTGACAGCACCCCACACCCAACTTGCTATGGGGGTTCTGTAACGCACCCCCCACCCAACCCCCTATGAAAGTTCTGTAATGGCACCTCCTACCCCCCAACCTGCTATGAGAGTTTTGTAACACAGCCTGCTATGAGAGTTCTGTGATAGCACCCCACACCCAACTTGCTATGGGAGTTCTGTAACGCACCCCCCACCCAACCCCCTATGAGAATTCTGTAACGGCACCTCCTACCCCCCAACCTGCTATGAGAGTTTTGTAACACAGCCTGCTATGAGTTCTGTGACAGCACCCCACACCCAACTTGCTATGGGAGTTCTGTAACGCACCCCCCACCCAACCCCCTATGAGAGTTCTGTAAAGGCACCTCCTACCCCCCAACCTGCTATGAGAGTTCTGTAACACAGCCTGCTATGAGAGTTCTGTGACAGCACCCCACACGACCCAACTTGCTATGGGAGTTCTGTAACGCACCCCCCATTTCCAAGACATAGTTATAACAACAAATTCAATTTTTCCATCAGTTACACATTGATACTAGTCATATTGACTTCGAACGTATCAACAGTATTGAGAATATGTATGGAAGATTTTTCTTTCCCAAGATCTTGGTATAATTCATTCAATAAGCGGCTACTGTCATATAAAAATTGGACTGGAAATCAACAACCAATAGAACTGGCTAAAGCAGGATTTTATTTCAAAGGAGATGAAGATGTTGTGGAATGTTTTCAATGTGGGGTTGAAATACACATGTGGAATCATGAAGATATTCCTATTGAGGACCACTTGAAGTATTCAAAGATTTGTCCATATGCTAATCTAATAAAGGATATTTTATACAAGTCAAAAGGTGAGACAAACCTTTTGAAGAATGAAGAACCAAAAGATTGCTGTGTGAGTTTAGTGCATTTATTACATGTTTTGTGCTCCCTATTATCTATGAATATTTTGCTAGATATCTTCAATAAAATCTATTGAAATTTATTTGAGTTTTATTCAAGATTATTCTAACAACTGGATATGGAACACCTTACCAGTACCTACAAAAATATATTTTATAACTCATTATGAAAAAGAAAATCATATCAATACATCTCACTGACAGAGAATACAGAGATTTAAGTATAAGAGAGGATACAGAACGTAAATATGTTGGGTTATCAAGGCTACATGGACTCTTCCTAGTTTACAATTCTTCCAGTGCACATAGATTATATTGTATATAAGAAAGTGTCAACTTGATTCAAGGTCCTGAATCCAAAACATATTTCCTAGATTAATTCTTTGGCGACTAAGTGTAATAATAATTGAAATAAGGATAATATTAATAATAATAATAATAATAATGACAATAATAATAATAATGATGACAATAATGATAATAATAATAATTATAAGGTCCATGTAAAGAAATAATGACTGGCAATTTGTTTTGCATCATTTAAATTTTAATAAATAGCCAAGACATTATACAGAAGAGTGTTCTCAAGCTAGGCTAATTAAAATGTAAATTTAATGGCCTGGTCGGAAGATCGCCCCAGGCTCATAATTTCCAGATGACCATCAGTAAATTGGACAGACTATTTAACTGAATTTTCATGGAGAATAAAAAATAAGTAATATATAGCTAATGTGAGATGCTCTCACATTTATTATCTTTTGACTAGAAGACTCACAAAGTTTTTCAAATAGGTATTTTTTGAATGAATTCAATGTAGATATTGTTCAAAGATACCTAGTGAAATAAAAATAGTAGTGGTAATGAATAAATTTTTATTTAAGTAACTTAACTAAACTTTCTACATTTTTTATATCCATATCCTCAACCAGGAGGCTTTTAAAATTTTTAAAGTAGGCTTATCTGTTTTGACATTGCTGACCCTTGAGGATAGTCAGCCTACCTGTGGCATTTGTAAGTACCTCCTTTTGCCAGTCCACTGCATCCCTTTCCAATTCCTCCTTCTGGTTTGCAACACAACCCCAGAGAATGATGTCCATATCCCTATCCAGATCTCCGAGGACGTCGCTGGGTCTTGTAACCCTCTTAGTAGTGTTGGTCCTGGTGGAAATTGGTTGGGTGACAGCTGGCTGGGTGGCGTTGGGTCTGGGGCCCGATTCTCGAAACCGTTGGAATTTGTTCCCCTGGGAAAAACTCGATATTTCCCATGGAAATTTGAGATGATGTATTCTTGAACTATTGTATGGGTTGGCTGGCTGGGCTGGGTTCAAGTAGGGTACAGCCATGCCAAGGGTACAGCAACCATTTCGAATTTGATTTTGACACAAGAGTCTCGAGATCATACCCGTGTGTTCACCGAACACGCCCGATCGTTCCCTAAGCGGTGGGGAAACGTAAACGGGCAGCAGTAACTACGTTATGAATATTGGCGCGTGCCTGAATTATTTTGGAGTCAAATTTGTCAATTTTATTCGAAACGGAACACTAGTAGTTGTGCCTTCTTGTTTTACATATATTATATGTAGACATCAAATCAATAAACATAGTGCTCTCGCCATCGGTATTTGCTGAACTTCGCTATGGGAAAAATGTTGGGATGAAGAATGATCTATACAGGGTGTATGTAAATAACACCGAAATAATTCAAGGGGTGATTCCTTGTGATATAATATGATGAATAAAGGTCATATAAACATGTGTCCTAAACTTGCTTCGTTTTCGAGGTACAGGGTTACGTCCTGATTTCGAATCCGAAGTGATTTTTAACCTATCTTGCCTCCTAATATCATTTTCCGGAAATGTTGGTGGGTCCATGACCAGAGCAGTGTTTTTCACTGAAGATTACCTCACTTTGGTCATAGTTGGTATATATATATCTATCGCTCCTTAAAATTGAACAGTTACGTTAGATATACGGGTTGATATTCCATTATAGAAGTGACATGCACACTGTTTATATTTTTAAATACATCCAGTGGGATTGAATTTTATTTTATGTTGAATATTAGAGTGTGTTTTTTTTATGTGATATATTTGTTTTGTTTATTTCAAATATATATATATTTTTAGTAGGCATACTAGTACTTCTTTTATATAATTCTGAAATCTGATCCACCCTGTATTTGTTTCAATTAAATGGCATCAGTAGATAGTAAATAGAATGTTAGGATATAGGGACACATGTAAGCCATTTTGACAATTCAATATAGGTATTGTATAGTTTCGATACAAAAAAAATCTCGATTCTACGTATAGGTATACCTTGAGCTTGATCAACGAAATCATAGCTCAATTAGAAGAATCGAAAAATGTAATAAAATATAAGGTGTTCCATTTTGAATAACAAAGCTGCTACTACTATACTACTAAGTACTACATAACTACTAATAATAATTTCTAGTGAAGCAGATGAACATTATCGAAAATAATTTGAATAAAAACGAGCGTCCTCGCCAACAAAACATAAGCATATAATATGTACATATAGTTTCATGATTTTCGATGAGTGGTTCGCTATTTACATGTAGGACTCGTCGTGACATAGCCTCGGACATATAGCGAATTATTGCAAAGCATTTCAGTCGCAGTAGATCACTTGATGCCTATCAAATGTTTCTTATTTATTCGAAAAAAAACTGTTGGTGGCCCACCCCGTACTACAAAAACAAAGACAGCATGAGAGAAGCTGCCTGCTTACGTCTCGGTCTCCCCACCGCTTAGGTAACGATCGGGCGTGTTCGGTGAACACACGGGTATGATCTCGAGACTCTTGTGATTTTGACAGCATTCCGAACCGAAATACCGAATTGAGGATTCTTGGATTCTTGGGACTGGCATTGGTCATTGTCTTGTCACTTGTCACACAATCACTACTTGTCATTTGTCAACAATGTTTGATCGTTTCGTTCGACATGTGTGTTGACAAGTGTTGACTGTTCTGTTCATATTTATGTTTCATGTTTCATGTTATTCTTCACTTCAGTCGTTCAATCAGTGCAATGTGTTTCTTGTTTTCTATTCATGATTTGTTTTCATTTTTACGTTTTTTACCCAATTTTAAGATGTATTTTTGAAATTCAACAAAACAATGATTGCTGAAATAGAAGAGCATATTCGTGAAAAAGTGTCTTGGTCACAACTTCCTACACATATCAAACAGGTTTTCAGAAAATTCACACAATTGTCAATAGATGGTATAATTTTTTTTTTCAGATATTGAGCAATTCATCTAAAGAATACCACCGATTTGTGGTAAATTTCAGTATAAAAAATCAACTGAGGTACCGTGGAAATTTGGGTAGGTATTTTCGAAGCAGTTTATAGTTTCTTGAATATTTGACATTATGTTTACTCTTCAGTCTCTGATATTTTTGATTGACTTATTTAATAATTATGCAAATCTGAAATGTAATATCTAGATAACAATATAGTTAATGTTTTAGTTCGACATGTTTTCAAGGATGAAAAGAAATACTATGAACGAATTATGGGTTACAGTAGGGAAAGACTCATGCTATTTCCATATCACCTTGCTGATATGATAGTCAAAGGGCTGAGAATAACTCCATTCAACTATTATATTTCTGTTGTGGAGAGGCTTATGCAGGCAGAAAAAAGTTATGACACCCTACCTAATTTTACAGCTGCTGATTGTAAGTTGAAACCAAGGATGAATCTTGAACCTTTTTTCTTCTGACACTGTTTCCTTCAGGTTTGCGATTGCTTGGGATTGGAAGAAATGAGTACATTGAGTTGATGAACAAATCCAGGTCCAATAAAGGTAGATTGTTTGGAAAGAAAAATGTGAGGGTGTTGCTTCCAAAAGTACCTTGTGATATCCATATTGAACCTTGGTGGAGAGTGGAGGTGGGGCTTATTTTAGAAGAAGATATAAAGGTAAATATAATTTTTCATGAAATGAGACATGCAAATTATAATTATTATGAAATGAATCTACAAATTATCAAACAGTTGGTACCATTTTAAAATCCCTTTTCCCAATTTATCTTAGTTCTGAGGTTTCAACCAAATTGGGAAAGTATTAACTCATTTTTGGACTAATTTTGGCTCCAATGTTGGTCAATGCAGCCTATAGGCATCACCCTACAAACTATGTTTTCCATTCTTTATATTCAAATTTTCATTATATTCTAGATCAGCCATCTGGAAAGCAATAATAATTATTTATGTTCTTTATATTCATTTTTATTTTTCATTTCATGAAGAATTTCAAATTTATTATCAGAATATGGTAATTGTCACTAACTGCTTAGACCTATGGATAAGTGAAAATAAAAATTATGTATTCCTCACATATTGTGTCCCTTTATTTATAATAATATCACCAAAATACCTCAGAAACATGTAGAATAATTGGTATATCTCAGTTATTTTCCAAAGGCAATGAAAATATTTGTTATGTGTATAGGCATCATTCCAGGCATCATTGGTCTGATGTCTGATAGATAAACTTTCATAGGATATATTGCACCCTTGTGACAAAAGTGTCACAACTCAAAAAACTCCCAATATGAGTTAATACTACTAGCCAGTAGAATGATGGTTTGCCAGATGGCGTTTTTGAAGCTTCAGTAGGTCAGCATTGGATCAGCAGAAGTGAAAAATTAATTTTGAATCAATCCATCCAACCACAGCATTTATGTGAATAATTTATTGCCATTGGAAAAAAAGGAGATAAGAGATTTGCAAGAACTGATGAACAAAAATTGTGTACCAAGATATCTTGTTTTATAATCTTCTATAAAAAACTCTTGGTTGAAGTTGTTAATTGCTTTTATCAATTATTGTTGTTGAACTTCTTCATTCAGTTTGAATTTTCTAAATCAAAAAGTTACAATTTGTTGAATGTTCTTAAATTTGTTGTCAACCTTGAAATATGCGGAACAACACTCTATCAAAACTCGTTCGTCTTCTACCAAAACTCGTTCGTCTATTTGCTAATTGCTAATTTGCTAATTGAAGTATTTTCGAGATCTTATAACCTCCGAAAGTTCATAAAAAATTCCAATACCTACCACTCCTATTCCTTTCCATCCTATTTAGGTAGGCATGATGTTTTTCCTGTGTTCCAAGAGATAGAACTAAATTATACCAACCAAAATTTGGTGAAACCTTTGTTTTGATGGGTATAGAAATTTGAGAAGTTATTCTTCCAGAATATGAAGTTTTGAGATATTTGGTCTCTTATTTTAGGACATGGTGCAATGATAACGGTTGTCGCCGCTGTTGCCAGCATTGTATAAATTTTCTATTTTGCGTACGTACAATTTGGAAAAATTTTAATTCCACAAGAAAAAAACATTCCAGAATACAATGAATCTACAATGATTCTGTTTCCAACTGATGAAAATGAAGTTATTGAAATAATTCATACTCTGAAGAAAACATGTCCTGACTCTGAAGGTTTATTAACAAAAGATATTTATTTATTTATTTATTTAAAGAAGATTACAAAACAGGTTCCTAGAAACCTAATTACATGAATCTTGAATCTTAAAATTAAAATTAAAGTTAAGAACAACACAAGTTGCATTCTAAAAACTAAAACTAACACTAACATGCAATAAGAGCACCAATTTAAATTTTAAGTTTTTGCCTTGAAACAGGTAGAGAAGTAGACTATCGAATTAGTAATAAATTATAATAATTAATACCTATTTAAGACAAAAGAAGCTGAGTCGAATATATTCGAGTGTTTAGAATTTGAGATATTCAGAGACCAATCATGGCATTGCGAATAGAAGTTTTGAAAGAAACAAGGTTCATAGTGAAAATATCAATGCACACTAGTTTATCAAAGAACTTGTTGTATAGTGTACACATATTATCAATTAGATTAGGACATTTGCTAGTAAGAAATAAAATGTGTTTTGGTCGAAGATTGGGTTTAGGGATACGTATTTTTATTTTGGACAATAGCATTACACTTTCAGTAATATTTGTTAATAGTTTGTAAACAAATATCATCTTCTGTAAGAGCCTTCTGTTTTCCAATTTAGGGATATTGAATTCTTTACGAAGTGGCTCATAGGACGAACGATCGGGACACCTTCGATATTTTTTGTAATGTAGAAAAAATATGAATTTATTTTGAACCGTTTCAAGACATTTTATGAGGTGTAGCTTTCCAGGGTCCCAGATTATGGACGCAAATTCTAATTTGCTGCGAACGAGTGAGAAATATAGACTAGAAATGGTTTTAATATTTTTAAATTCGAAAGTTACGCGTTTAAGAAAACCTAACATTCGAGAAGCACTTCTTGATACATCATTTATGTGTTTATCAAATTTCAAAGTATTTTGAAAAGTAACGCCCAAATCTTTTATATGAGTGAGTTTTTCTAAGCTCTTGTTGTCTATAAGATAGTTGAACTCATTAAAGTTATTTGACCTACAGAAAGTAATACTGAAACACTTATCAACATTCAGGTATAGTTTATTCTCAACTGTCCAGGCATGTAGCAAATTCAAGTCATTTTGTAATATATCATGATCCCCGCGATGTTCAATTTTTCGAAATATTTTACAGTCATCAGCGTATAGTAAACAGTCAGAAGAAAGTTGCTGAGGAAGATCATTAATAAATAAAAGAAATAGAAGGGGGCCCAGGTTTGACCCTTGTGGTACTCCAGATTTAGCCAAAAGTATATTAGAGCTGGCTCCACGAAATGTGACAAATTGTGGTCTGTTAGCAAGATATCCTGATAGTAGGGTAACAAGCATATTACTCAAACCATAATTATATAGTTTTTTTAGAAGTATATCGTGGTTGACTTTATCGAAGGCTTTGGCGAAATCCGTGTATATAGTGTCAACCTGGCCACCCGACTCAACAATTTCGCTTACTTGAATGAGAAAACAGGCTAAATTTGTTTCGATTGACTTTTTCCTGCAGAAACCATGTTGTGAATCTGATATTCGGTTTTTCACATGCCAATATATTTTCTCGAAGATAATGAATTCGAACAGTTTAGCCACACAGTTGAGAATAGCAATGGGTCTATAGTTGAGGATACTTTGTTTGTCCCCTTTCTTAAAAATGGGTGTAAGTTTGGTTTTCTTCAGCAACTCGGGGAAAATTCCAGATTGTAACGAGTTTTGGAAAATAATCATGAGTGGATATGTAAGATACTCTTTGCATGCTTTGATAAGGTAACATGGTATATTATCTGGTCCTGATGATTTCTTTGGCTTGAGTTTACGAAACGCATTATCCATGTCTGTAACTGTTATATGAGAAAAAGAGAGAATATTATCTTTTCCATTGTGACTATTGTTGAAGATATTATTCAAATCATATGTGGAGCTGTTTTCATAAACAGATGCAAAGTAGTCCGCGAATGCTGAAGAAATTACTTGAGAATCTTCAGTACTGACACCATTTATGACAAAGTTTGTGTTCGCTTCTTGAGATCGTTTCTTGGAATCTACGAAATTCCAGAAATATTTCGGGTTATTTATGAGATTATTTTCTACATCTTCAATATATTTTCTATGAGCTTTTTTCACATCCTTCTTTACCTCTGATCTAAGCCTATTATAATTATTGCGTGCTTCAATTGAGTAGTTTTTAAGTTTCCTACATAGTTCTTTCTGTTTGAGTTTATTTTTAATTTCGTTCGTGAACCAGGGAGGATATTGCTTTTTGTTGAGGTTATTTATTCTATACTTTGGAACACTCTGATCAAAAATGTTATAGATAACTTCGTAAAAATATTGAATCTGATCATTTACATTTTCATAATGTCCAAGTATGATCCAATCCGTCCGCATAAACAGCTCGTACATATAAATATATATTTGAATTAAAAAATATTCTGGCTGAACCCTTGACAAAATTAATCAATAATTATTTTGTATTAGGTATTTTTCCATATGAATTGAAACATGCTTCACTAAGACCAATATTCAAAAGTGGGGATGTTGAAGATCCAGAAAATTACAGACCAATAGCTATATTGAGCATATTTTCGAAAATATTTAAAACAAAAAATATAGTTTTGATAATAATCAGTTCGGGTTCCAAGAAAATAGTGGTACTCAAGCAGCAGTACTACAAGTAGTACAAAAAATTCAAGAAGGACTTGATACGGGAAATTACGTTGTAGCTATTTTCATTGACCTTAAAAAGGCATTTGATACAGTTGATCATAATAATCTATTAGAATACTTGGACTCGATGGGACTCAGAGGCATTGTTAAAAATCTTTTAGAATCTTATCTTGCGAATTGGACAATCAGCACTAAATGTAATATATCAGAGTCTAATAAATTTCCAATAAGTAAAGGTGTTCCACAGGGATCTGTTCTAGGACCCATCTTGTATTAATTATATATTCAAAATATTTCTAAAATTGGATTGTCAGGTAATTATACTATATATGCAGATGATACTGTACTTTTATACGAAAACAATAACCCCATCATTCTAGAAAATATTAAGATTTGAAATATTTGAAAAATGGCTTTATTCAAACATTTTATCAATTAATACCAATAAAACTGAATATACAGTCTGTCCAAGATAAGGTTGAACAGCATGGGGATCTCGAAAACGGTAAGAGATACGAAATCGGTTAAATGGGGAAAAAGTTGCACATTCGGAGGCTCATATCAAGAGCCTTCGAAAATTTTGAAAATTATTTTTAGTTTTTGAGTTATATCGAAAAAAGTGAATTTTTGGAATTTCTATTTTATTTTTTTCTCCGTTATTATTAGAGATACAGCAAAACTGAGAATACTTTTTCATAGCAACTTTTGATGACGGTCAACGTGGTGATACCGATTTTTTCATGCGACGTTTCGTATTCGTGGAACCATCATCAACTTTTGTTTTTTAAATACGGTCCTGATAATTTTTTCACAGATTCTAAAAG